CTTAGCTTCAGCTCGAAATGTTAATTATTGAACTCAGTCAAGACATTCACCTAATGAACATCTACATATACATCAAGTTTAAACATTCACCTAATAGACACCTATGCCAAGTTTGAACATTCTACCTCAATTAGAAGGAGAGTTATTGTGTTCCAAAGTTTCTACCAATCAAATTGCTTATCACTCTGCTTACCCTCAGCAAAAAATGTTCATTATCGAACTTAGTTAAGGTATTCATATAATAAATCTATACACCAAGTTTCATCAATCTCACTTAATTAGAACTAAAGTTATCGTGTCCCAAAGCATCAACCAATCAAATTGCTTATCTCTGCTTACCCTAAGCGGAAAATGCTCATCTTCGAACTCCATCAAGGCATTGACCTAATCAACACATACACCAAGTTTGAACATTCTAGCTCAATTAGGAAGAGAGTTATCGTGCCCCAAAGTATCAACCAATCAAATTGCTTATCTCTGCTTACCCTAAGCGGAAAATGCTCATCTTCGAACTCCATCAAGGCATTGACCTAATAAACACATACACCAAGTTTGAACATTCTAGCTCAATTAAAAGTTATCGTGTCCCAAAGCATCAACCAATCAAATTGCTTATCTCTGCTTACCCTAAGCGGAAAATGCTCATCTTCGAACTCCATCAAGGCATTGACCTAATCAACACATACACCAAGTTTGAACATTCTAGCCCAATTAGGAAGAGAGTTATCGTGTCCCAAAGCATCAACCAATCAAATTGCTTATCTCTGCTTACCCTAAGCGGAAAATGCTCATCTTCGAACTCCATCAAGGCATTGACCTAATAAACACATACACCAAGTTTGAACATTCTAGCTCAATTAGGAAGAGAGTTATTGTGTCCCAAAAAGTGTGACGGACAGACAGACGGACGGACAGACAGACAGACAGACAGACAGACAGACAGACAGACAGACAGACAGACAGACAGACAGACAGACAGACAGACAGACGAACCCATTTTAATAGTCCCCTGCTTTCTTCGAAAGGCGGGGGACAATGAATGAGTTTAAGAGGATCTTACAATGAAATTTTTTAAATACCTAAAACTATTTGGTTTTACATATTGAGCCTACGGAGTACTGACATTAGCATTTTGATCAGGGGTGCCGGAACAGCGGGGCTACAGGTGTAAATCGCCCCCCCCCCCCCACAAAGCATGGGCCAATTGCCCCGTTGCCCTTACCATCTTGCTGACTGTTCCTTAAAATAAAATAAACCCAAGTACGAACAATGCGAACCATTAGACAAAATTCGAAGTCCTAAAAAAACGGTATAGGCAAAATAGTGTAATAAGGCAAAATAGTGTAATCAGCATATGGACTGTTCACCGTGTACAAAAAACACGACAAACAGTGGTAACAGGTGTCCGGAAGAGTAAGCTTACCCTGCCTGGCGCCACAGCTGCATCCAAACTATTAGGCGAAATCTCGGTAAAATAGCGTGATTGGCCAATGGACTATCGGTATGCAAAATGCACGTGATGAACAGTGTTAACAGGGAGATTGTATACGCGTCAATTAAATATATCTAGAATAATAGCCAAGAGAGACATGTTATATTTACCAATCAAGTCAATATGACGCCCATAAAACTTTTTAAAGGTTTTAATAAGTTTAGTTCGCAAGTATCCCTGTAGTTGAAGCTTAGATGACAAATGCCTCGATCTACTTAAAAAATCGGAATAAAATGAACAAGCTCTCGCGTAACGAATTAGTTGAGACACAAACACTCCATAAGCTGGTGATATTGGAATGTTACTACTAATAAATGGAAAGTTAACAATCGGAAAGTCAAAGTCATCACGTTTATCGTACAATTAAACACTAAGTTTATGGCAATTGTCAAAATCGAGACACAGATCCAAGTAGGAAGCGTAATTGTCACTGTCAGTAGTGTTTTTAATTTCGAGCTCATCAGGATATATGAATTCTATATAATCACTAAATTTTGGATTATTCAGTGATAGAACATCATCGATATATCGATAAGTGTCGGACTAATCGTTTATTTGATTTTACGAGTGCCTGTATGTAATTGGCTTCGTAGGAATAGAGAAACAAATCAGCAAGCAAAGGTGCACAGTTGGTTCCCATGGGGATACCTACCACTTGCTGATAAATTTCCCCTCCAAATTCAACGAAGATATTATCAATTAAAAAATCCAACATCTGAATTATCTTGTTGGCGGTGAATTTATTTTTGGAATCACTATGGTTCTTAACAAAACTAAATATTGATATCTAACATTTCCCGATTTAGATGAAAAGACACTGTGAATAATGTCTTTTAACCGAGCTTTTAATTTACTATGGGGAATTTTAGTGTACAAAGTAGAAAAGTCAAACGTTTGTATAGATGAGATTGAAGCAAGTGATCTAGATTGTAAACCATCAAGTAATTCTTTGGAATTTTTTAATATCCACATTTGATTAAAACCACTACAAGTGCAAGAGTATATTTTGTCACAGTATTTTTGAATACCCTCTTTCACTGCCGTTAGTTTTGATGTCAATACTTTTGAAAGTGGTTTTGTGGAACAACGGGATGAACCTGCTACAAAACGTTGCTTGTAGGGATTTTTATGTAGTTTAGGTATCCAATATAACAAGGGCAGATCTGTATAGGTATCTCTGCATGGAGTACCAAATGAAGTGAGTACAGATCTGTGATTGGATATAATTTCATCCTTACTAAGTGTAGAGCGTTTATACGTAGCACTGTTGATTGATTTCCCGAAATTAAGTTCTTTGAACAGGCAGTCATAATAATATCATTTACATATAAACACTAAGTTATTGGACGCTTTGTCAGCCGGTACTATGACATACTTGTCATGTAAGGCATTGAGATTTTCAACAATGCTAACATCAATGAAAATAGATTTAGGCCTAGTATCAACCAACAAACATTGCATATAAATTCTTCGTTTAAGTAAACGACTGATAGACTTAGTCCAATCTGAGAGAGTATCAGACATAACATCTTCCCTCTTGACCCATGATCTGGCGTAGTCCTCTACGGCATCCATAATAAGTTTGAAATTTTGATCCCATGAAAATGGTTGCGGTTCCTGGTATTTGGGTCCTTTAGACAAAATATCACGTAACTTATTATTCTGGACTATGTATAAATCACCAGTGACTACATGTCCAGCTGGTTGGTAAATGAAGGACGACGTAGAGCAAGAACAGGGTAGCGGGTTATCATATGGTATGGTGGTAAATTTTCTCTAATATAGACACCCTCATAGATAGTATAGAGTGGTTAGGTTGGTTAAAATGTCTATAAAGAATTGGTTACTACCCTTATTAATATTGTGACGATGACCGTTAATACGTAAATGTAAAGGTCCTTTAGTTTCGCCAACATAAACTAGTCCGCAGAGTGTACCGTAGATAATATTGGAGGTTTTACAATTTAGTTTCTCAAACCCACGTGTAAAATAAGTTTTCTTAGTTTTTCGTACACCAGCAATGCGATTGTCTGACCATTCTTCTTGCTTCAACTCGCTGCATGTCGCAAAATCGTTAAACATCTGCATGTTTGCTTCTATTCATAAAAATCCTATGGACGCAGTAGATGTATATAAGGTACTTATAGAGTTCATTGCCAGATCGCAGCAACGCAAATATACTTGGGTTAAGTACACATTGCTGTACTATGTCATAAGATTTTATATTTTTGAATATATCCGATGCAATTGTATAAAAACAGGATTCAAGATTTTTGTTCGATATGCTACGTCGAAGTGAACCGAATTGGTTATTGATTCTAGTGATCTGAGTTGTATTTTGATCTGATCAGTTTTAACTGGTAGCCTGATTTCGATTTCTGAATGACTAAAAGGGCACCAGTATTAGGATGACCCGTGCACTTTACAGAAAGTTGGTCTCGACACGGCTAAATGTGCACGCTTCAGTTGCGTGTCTCGAACTGATTTCTGACTACCCCGCACTCGCTTTGAGTCGATAAATAGCCATGGCACGTGCAATTCTCTACAAATATATCAACTATTACAGCCGTAAAAAATCTATTGTTGACGATTTTGAATAGCAGTAAAATTTAGCTTCTTGGTTATTACAGCAGCTTTAGTAATTACGTTTGTTTTATTTTTTAAATTGCTTTATCATTAACTGTACCGTTAAGAGCGGCATCTTTTGGTTTAGTACAAATACTATCTCTGAATCACTTTCTTTAGCAGGAACATGATACTAGCAGTAGTTTCATTTTACTTTTACAAGTTTCTTAAAACAATTGTTGAGTTGTCTAAAGTGCTTATTTCTAAATTCAATTTCTTGTTCTAGCTTTCTGTTATGTTTCGTAAAAAAGTAGTCTTGATTATCCCGACCTGTCAATCAGACGTAGAATGGTCGATAGACTGGTTAAGCGAGACTAATTTCAAAACAAGGGCACGTAACCTATCTTTTACTCAAAAGTGTCTGGATGTTATGGACGCAACTTGGAACCAGTTTTCAGTCTATTATTTATAGATGATTAATGGTCATAGCTTATTAAGTACAACATGATCGTTTATTTAGTGACTATAATTGTGTGAAACTGATTTGAGGCTTGGCATATATATAAATATTGTGGCGTAATTGTCGAGATATTTGGAGATATTTATTTATGGTGGGTCACCCTACCAGTATACTAATGTGAATTGCACTGAATTCATCTGTCCAAGTCAATGTTTATAAGATTCTGATATAAATCCTTTCGTCTTTTTTATACTTTCGATGGCCTCTACTACATCACGCCAAAAACTCGCCATAACAGACCATTTCATTTGCTAAATCCTCACATCATCCAGGACGCAGGTTATATAACAACTCTTCCAGATCCTAGTGTAGAAAAGACAAGTAAAACCAATTTTTGTACTTTAAAAAACAAACTGAAATAGGATTGTCTTTTAATCAGATTGAACATGTATGTATCTCACCCCCAATCAACTTTCATATGTTGTGCATTAAAGAAGAAAACAGTAGCTGGTATGAGAGTGATATCAAAGTACTGGGTATATACATGAACACTATCTACATTAACACAGTATATCTCAGCCATATTGCCCAATTCTGTAGAAGCTTTTTCCAGCTGTAAAACAAAACATAAATCTAGTTCAAATCAATAAAGAAAGATAGCTTCCTAAAAAGCGAAATATACACCCATAGCAGCTAAGTCGTCCAAGAAGCCTACAAAGGTTCTTCATATTATATTCTTTTGTATGTTATGTGGGCAAAAAAAAGAAACAACCCATGAAGTAATTACCAGAAATAACAAGTGAGGCTGATGTCCCCCACCGAAATCCCAAAATCAATAGATGTCACATATTAATTAATCGCATATTTATTTTTGTTTAAAAGTATCCAGCAATCAAACTGATTATCAACTATACACTAAGTTTCATCACTGTCTATCAGGTAGAATCAAAGTTTTCTTGTCCCAAAGCATCGACCAATGAAATTGCTCAGCTCTGCTTAGCTTTAGCTCGAAATGTTAATCATTGAACTCAGTCAAGACATTTACCTAATGAACATCTACATCAAGTTTAAACATTCTACCTCAATTAAAAGCAGAGTTGTTAATGTTCCAAAGTCTTGACCAATCAAATTGCTTATCGCTCCTTAGCCTACGCAGATAATTCTCATCATCAAACTTAGTCATCCCTCTCACTTAATTATAACCAAAGTTATTGTGTCCCAAAGCATCAACCAATCAGGTTGTTAATCTCTGCTTACCGTAAGCAGGCAATGTTTATCATCGAACACTATCAAGGCATTCACCTAATGAACGCCTACACCAAGTTTGAACATTCTACCTCAATCAGAAGGAGAGTTATTGTGTTCCAAAGTCTCGACCAATCAAATTTCTTACTGCTCTGCATACCCTGAACAGAAAATGTTCATTATCGAACTTAGTCAAGGTATTGATGTGATAAAACCATACACCAAGTGTCCTCACTACTCCTCACTCTCACTTAATTAGATCTAATGTTATCGTGTCCCAAAGCATCAACCAATCAAATTGCTTATCTCCGTTTACACCAAACAGAAAATTCTCAACTTCGAACTCCATCAAGGCATTCAACTAAAAAACACCTACGCCAAGTGTGAACATTCTACCTCAATTAGAAAGAGAGTTATTATGTTCAGGAAGTTATGATCCGATATGCGCGAATATGGAAAGGAACCAATATCTTTGGGTTATAAACATTGATTTACCAGATGTTTACACTATTTGTCCGGCAGTTTTGGCGCGATTTTACTGAAATTCAAACTCAACAATCATTACGGTGTTATAGTGATATATTTGAACGTTTTTTTAAATCGGATAATTATTGTGACCTCTAGAGGGACCACAAACTAAAAACGCAATTTTTCGTACAATCAAGGGCCATAATTCAGGAAGTTACAGTCCGATATGCATGAATATCCAAAGGAACCTAGATCTTTGGGTTATAAACTTACATTTCAAAATTGTGACCTCTATAGTGTCCACAACCTTGATATACCATATTTTTACGCTATTTGTGAACGAAGGGCGGCCGTTTTGTCTGTCAGTTTTGGGCAGATTTTCACGAAATTCAAACTCAGCCGTCCTCAGGGTGTAACGGTGATATAATAATACGGTTTTTTAAATCGGATAAAAATTATGACCTCTATAGGGTCCACAAGCTAAAAACACGATTTTTCGTACAATCAGGGGCCATAATTCAGGAAGTTACGGTCCGATATGCGCGAATATCGAAAGCAACCAAGATCATTTGGAGATAAACCTATATTTCATGTTTCATCAAAATCGCATAAGAATTGCGACCTGTAGAGTGTCCACAAACAAATTGTGGACGGGCGACGACAATATACGTCCACATGAAAATGTGGGCGTATAAAAACCTAAATATCCTTTTTTCCACTAATCACATCGCAAATATTTTCACTATTTATATATAACATATAATTGTCTGCGATATCACTTCAGTGGAAGCTGACGCTAAATAAAGCTATTTCACACACACACACAAAACATAGCTGGTTGTATGTGTCAATAAAATACCACGAGATTGCATGTGCTTGGAAATTTACTAATTGCATTATTTAGCTAAAGTAACCAATCATAATCAGTAATTGCACAGGTTCAGGCCTCAGGGTCATCAGTATCCATGAGTCCTATAAAAGAAATCATGGTAAACTTTTAAGACAGACTTTCATTAGAATCCTGGAGAGATTACCACCCGAGTTCCTGGACAACAGCTTTATTCCAGAAGGGGAAAGATGTAACAGTTTCTATCAGCAGACTTGCCAAGTCTGCCTGGCTAGTGTTTGAGAATGACTTTATTATTGTAATCTATACTATGCTTGTATCCATATGTAAACAGCTATGACATATAAAACGTAAAAATGAACTATTGCATTGTTAAAACTACTGAGAAGAAAAATGTCTTAAGAAACAGTAAGAAGTAAATACACAACGTAAAGCAGAAGCAAAGACAGCTAGAGACAAATTCTAGATGATCACAAGGCTACTAATATATGTAGTAAGAAAAGATGCATGGGTCGTATGTAGGATGTGGCGACCGGTTTTGCAACTCCTGCTCTCCACGTCTGACAGAAGGCCCATGGTGCTACAATATACCAATCCAAATTCCTTAAAATTGTATTTCAAAAACCTGACATTGGAATGATCTGATTTGTATGCATCATAAATAAACAGGTATACATACTGGCTATATTCAGGTTATTGACCCACTCCCCAATCTGCTTAGTAAACCACAATATATGATATGCAAAAATAATGTATTGATACCTGTTATAGAAGAATTGGTAAAATTATTTTGTGTGATAAAGAGGCTGAGATAAACTTGTGTACTAAAACATATTTTATTGCAAAAATATTCTTTACAAAGGGATAAGAACAATTTTTATCACCCAATAATACATTCTACAGTAGATATCGCTTGTGTGATATATTTCATAATCTACTGCGATATCTCCTTAGGAGATATCGCTTTACATGAATTTGAATGGTCAATTGAAAAGGAACTACTTTTTTTATTTTCAAAGAACAGTTCATTTCTTATTAAAAGTAACTTTTTTTTTTATTAAAAATGAACTATTGTTATGCAATTGACCTTGATGGAAACACTGGGTCAATATAGAGGACTTTGCAATAGTTGAATTGCTGTCAAAAAATGATGTATCACTACGCCATAATGTTCAGTAAAAGTGAAATCTACAGCAAAGAATTATATTTATCTATTTGTGCATGTAAGAAGGGATTGGGTGATAAATAAAATCTCCTACTCGTCTTTTTTGATATCAAAAAATATCAACACTCGTTGATAAAGTAAAAAAAAACTCGGAGAACCTCGTTTTTTGTTACTTTATCAACATGTGTTGATATTTTTTGATATCAAAAAAGACTGGTAGGAGATTCTCTATATAACAAATTATGAATCTTCTCCTAAAATATCAGTCAAACTTTTATATAAAATAGTATGGCAAATTGATTTTTAATTTAACTAACTTAAACAAATGTACATCTATTTACAAAACTTCCTTGTAAATTATATTAGTTAATGCATACTTATACGTTTACTTATTGGTACATTTATAGTATTTGTTTTTAATTATATGTAAAAACGTTTCGAGTCTTTGATATACCTTTGAATAAGTAAAACTAACATTTTATTTAATTTTTTTGATAGTAGCGATGAACCATTTAGAAATATTTCGTGTAATTCAGTGAAAGAAATATTTCCAAGCCATGTTAGTTTACTGAAAAGGGCAATCAAAAAAATAATGATACAAATTTTCGACAGATATAGCGTTAGAACTACAGTATCGATTTTCAATTATATGTGAACGAAATAGATCGAAGTTTAAACTACTACATCCATGTCGAATATGATTGTGGTACATAGAGAATGGCCTAGAACCAATACTTCTGAATTTTGGTGGCTTTATTTTAGTTTTTGAGATTTTTAAAATTCTTTAACGTTTGCAATGTCTTTAATCTTTTGATAAATTATTGTATTCACGAATAGTTTTCGGAAAGAATGATTTTTGTCTGATACTAACACGACAACCGGATTCCCGAATGTTGGAGATTCGTAAATTGTAAAGTGCTTGGGGTTCGTTTACAAAGTGTATAGTAATAGTAAAATACACAGGACAGATTCCATGGATTATTTTATGTAACTGATACAAACGTCTAAGCTTTCTTCTTTCACTTAATTTTGACCATGCAGTTTCAAAATATAAAGATTGTCTGGAGGCGTAAATTGTATTTCCTGTAACAACCCGAGCTGCTTTCATCTGAAAAATTTCTAATTTATCTGAATTATAACTACAGTTATCCCAAACTTCACAACAGTATTCAATTATAGGCAAAATAAAACAATTTATAGAGTTTATTAAAGATACATTATGGGAGATTAGATAAAGAACTGGCAGTTCTCACTATAACAGTTAACCAGCGGCTGCCAGGCAGGATACGCCCACATTTTCGAGAGATGGATAGAAAACAAGCTAACAAGAAAGTGATTTTTCCTACAATCAAGGGCCATAATTCAGGAAATTACAATTCGATTTGCGTGAATATCGAAAGGAAACGAGATCTTTGGGTTATCAACTAACATTTCAAGTTTCAACAAAATCGGATAAAAATTGTGACCTCTATAGTGTCCACAAGCTAAAAACGTGATTTTTCGTACAAACAGGGGCCATAATCCATGAAGTTTCGATCCGATACATGCCAATATCGAAAGCATCCGAGATATTTTGGAGATAAACCTATATTTCAAGTTTCATCAAAATCGGATAAGAATTGTGACCTGTAGAGTGTCCACAAACAATTGTGGACGGACGTCCAGACATCCGGACGGACAGGGGCGACGGCATAATACGTCCACATGAAAATGTGGGCGTATAAAAACTACCTAATGTAAAGGTAATTTGTTGAAAATTTCAGTCAAATTGGTCCACTATGCACCGAGATATCAGCTTTGTAAATTTCTGCCTAGCCTCGTTCATCATTACTAAAGTTAGTATGTTAAATTGTGAATTGTATAAGAATTGTGACCTGTAGAGAGTCCA